ACTTTTTTTTTTTTTTTTCCAACATCAAATTTCATTAACTAACCAAATACAAGTACAACATCTATTTGAAATGACAAATTAAATTATGAAAAAAAAAAAATTATAATTATTAACGTGGCAAGTTGGTGTGTGCACTGTGCACAACGAAAAAAAACGGATGGTTGGTGGGACCCGCCCTTGTGATCCACTGAAATGCGTTGGAGAAATTAAAATTACCTTTAGATTATGGATTTTGAGTAAGTATTAAAGAAAGGTATAGCCATCATGATTTAAATAGGTCACAGTGTACCTCACAATCAATATTTTATTTATTTTTTTATTTATTTATCAGAGTATTGTCACATGTGGATGTGATGTTATTTTTTCATCAACATCATCTTAGACTTATTAATTCATTAATTATACGAGGTGGACAAATGGTTTATTTAGCTGTGTGTGTTTTATTTAAAAAGTAGAATGCGTTGAAGATCTGAAGGAATCATTGTATTGACATTAGCTTCACACAATATATGATAATCGGATTATAATTTGAGCACACTCATTATATGGATTTGAAATATCGTTGACCTCTAGGTCCTAGTTATTATATATTTTTTACTATAAGGTGAAAACTTTAGGAGTGTCAAATCTAGGCCCTAGTTATTATTTATTTTTCACTGTAAGGTGAAAATTTTAGAAAATGTCAAATCGTTTCGTGGTCCTGTTAATATCGCGTTTTATGTTATTTATTTAATTTAATTATAAATATAAAGTCNNNATGATACGGAAAGATATCCCACAAACAAGCCATTTAGAGGTGATTGGATATGAATTTAGTGGATATATTAAAATAATATTTAAAGTAAAATAATTAAAGTTGATTTGGTGTAAAAATAGGAGAAAATGATTGGAAGTGATAGTTAGTTAAAATTATGTGAGTAGATGAATAGTGAATTAAAGTTGGTGTGATATGTAAGAATGATTGGTTGATATTATTTAATATATTGATGATATTGGAGATAGTGGAGTTGAGTTAAATTTGAGTTTTGATTGATTTTTTTACTGTACAATTTGTATACAATCGCCCCCTTACTTGTCCTATTTTTGTTTTCATTTATTGCGGCTGGTAGGATATCATGCGGCCGATGATTATATTAATTTTATCATTGTTTACGGGATAATTCAATCTGGGGTGGGGGTAAGATATTTTTTATTCCGATTTTATTGAAGATTTTTTTTTATTTTTTTTTTACCGGAACGATAGACAATTTTATTGAAGATTGAAATGACCAATTTACCCGCACCTCTATCATTTTCTTCTTCTTTTCCTGTTGAATTGCTACCATTTTATTTGTTGCTCATTTTATTTTATTTCTTCTTTTGCAGACAACAACACGCGAATCGCCGAAAACCAAACGTTATTCAGCTGATCTCCGACTCCAATCTTTGGAATACCCTGTCATCATGACCAACAACTGAAGCCCAATTCACCATTAAGCCCAACATACAAGCCCAAATGAAGTTCTATTCTAAACACAATTGCAATAGAAGTAGTAGTTATTTGTAGTTTTTTAGCCGAGTACGGGATAAATTCCGACCTCGGGTCGTGTCTCTCGAGTAAGGTTGTCCGGCCACGAATTCGGACAATGATCGACTAACACCAAAAGGAAAATAAAGATCCTAAACATTCTACTCGCATAATTAGGTGGTTGGATTAAGCTAAAGGTAGCAACTTTAAACTAAACTAAAGCAATATTCGTAATTTAAAGCAGTCAATACCTCAAATCGCTAGAAAAAGGAAAATAGAGAGAAAAAACAAGGTGCCCTAAGACCCGAGATGGAAAGAAGACACTCATAGGTTCGGGAACGTGCAATCAAACAATCGTCACTCGCGAATTAATCGAGCTCTCAATCAATTCCCGCTCACGCAACCGACAACAAAATCACATAATTCCTAGCCTACGAGGATATATGCATATTCTACTCATGAAAGCTCCTACATTTACTCTAGAAAAATTCAATAAATAAAGGCAAGAAAAACTCACGAGACCTTGGACCTTCAACTAAGTCTCCGATTGGACCTTAAGCAAAGTCTCAAATTCTCTAGTACATCCGCGAGAAGAAATAAACTGGAAAGTTGCAATCTTGATGGAGAAATATTATAATAAAAATAGGGTCTTGGAGCCCTTAGAGAGAGAAAAAAATTAGCTAAGAAGAAAATTTTAGCAAATGAGGAATTGTTCCAAAAATACAAAGCAACAAGTCTATTTATAGTTATACCACAAACACACACTAAAAACATACACATAAAAAAAAAAAAAACACTCGCGACCTAGATGGAACTCGCGAGCTAATGCTTGAAATTCGCGGTCACGGATGCATGGCTGCTGGGGAACTCGCGAGCAAGTGGAATATTCTGGAGCTAGGCATGGATTTTCGTGGGCACTCTATCCATTATAAATTAATTTTTTCACAATTATTATATTGTTCTAACTTTCGAATGCACACAAACTACATTTGGAATGACATTGTTATCGATGCGCGTCTGTATGCATTTTCCAACTTTTTTGTGCTTCACCACAAGAAGGAAGAANCAAAAAAACAAATTAAGTTATAACGTGATATAGTTATAATATTTGATGAAGTACAGTTTGACGAAGTAATTTTATTTTCGGTGTTAATACCTAAACAAAGTCCAAGTCTTATCATTTAAATAATACGAGTTCATAAACTTAATTTGTTATTATGACAGTAAAATTCCTTAAAATTGCATAAACAATTATTATAATAAATTTAATATTTTTCAGTTAATTAATTGGTCATGATTCTTCAAAATTACAAAAATTATATTATTTTATTACATTTTATGCCATCAGTAAAGTGATTCACATGCAATCAAAGCGTTGTGTACTATTTCTATTTCTTTTAACCAATGATCAAATTTTAAAATATAATATCATTATCTAACTTATATTTGTAATATTTTATACATAGATATAACTTATCATACTATATATTTAAAATACAATTCATTTAGATATCTAATTTATAACTTTAATATTGTATACATACAAATAACTTATAAATTATAATACTTTATTTATATTTATGAAAATACACGAGATTGAATAATAGTTATATAGTGAGAGAGTGATTTAGGTTTGTTCTTGTTGTAGTTCAACAGAGAAATGGCACGTGTTTGTCTTCAATTTAATTAACTAATTTTAATGTCTTTTAATTTATTCAATTCATTTTTATTTTCCGTGCTCTAAAAGAACTTGCTACAAGTAAAAATTCCACCACATGGGTTGTTAAACTGCACATGGTACGATTTACGAAGTATAAAAAGTCATAAAAGCTACTTGTTTTGCATTTTAAGTCCGTGTTAAACATGTTTCGATGTCGGTCAAAACATGTTGGCTTTTATCATACTGTATTTAAAAATTCTCATGTGAACATAATTGATTTAAATGAATGTCATGAGAATGGAATGACCATTTTCTTATTATTTTTTACCCTATAATTGATATATTTTTTAGAAATGAATGATATTTTAATAGGAATTGTAAAATTCATCTCCATTAGATTAGTCATTTTTTAGCTAATATATTATTTTCTCATCCTCATATGTTGAGGATTCAACTTTTCAAAAAATAAAATTAACAAATAATCATAAAAAAATAAATATATAATATTATATATATCATGATTAAATAACATTAAATAAAATTATTTTTAAAATTAATTTCAAATAAAAAATTTTTAAAAATATTTTAATTTAATGTTCATATTTTAATTAGTTATATTAAAAATTATACTTATATAAAAATAAAACTCACAAAAAGTGCATTTATAAATCGTTTAGAAATATCTTAATTTATATTTATATAATCTTATATATTATATATTTATTTAGAAATTTAATTGTATTAATAAAAAAATTATATTCAACTACGTATGCTTATAGGAGTTTGTGTAATGATAAATTTGTATTAGTTAATATGTATATAAATACATAAATCATTTATTTATTATATAATATGAGTGTAACAATACAAAAAGATATTTATTAAAGTATAATTTATTTTTTAAAAAATAAAATAATTTTTTTCTATTATAATAAGAAAATAAAATTAATATAAATATTATTTTTTTCCATAAATTAGTGATAAATGATTATATAGAATGATAATGTCATTTCATTCAGATCTTATTTTTTTCATACCAAACACATCAGTGAAAAAACTTATTTTATTTGTTTCCCATAATTATTTCATTCTTCAACTCATTTAATTTCTATCAAATTTCATTCTATTATACCAATCACTCCGTAAGTGAATTCGATGTTTCATATAATATGAACAAAATTATATTTATAGGGGGCGGATAAAATGCGCCCAACTCTTAAAATGCGCCCAGCTCTTAAAATGCGGACAGCTCTTAGCAACTACAGAGAACTAACTTAGCAACTACAGAGAACTAACCTAGCAACTACAGAGAACTAACCTAGCAACTACAGACATTTTGGATTACAGAAAAATACTTCTGCACACTTTAGGCGACCCTCTAAAAAGTACTCTTGTCCTCCAACCCCAAACACGCAAAGTTCAGTACAGAAAAATTGTCAAAACACTTGGATACTTTGCGTGGGATTCTGAATTGGGAATTTGCAACCTCTTGGGATTATTTTGGAGAACAAATCAGCAAGACATCAATTTTCCTAATATCTAACCTTAAGGTGTTCGACAAATTGCCTAAGAAACTGAGCAAGCTTTATCTGGTGCCAACTTCAGCCAGCCACTTCCACCACGAAAGCTCTAATATATCTGCGTTGTGCCACTCGGAGTTCCCCGAACAGTCAGCCGGCCGCTGCCGGCTAGCGGCGGTCCCCCAAAACCCAACAATGATCCATGAATGGCCTCCCGGCGATTTAGAGTACCTCCTAAATCTGTCGGCGGCCCAAGCTTCCTTCGGTCAGCAGCTTGTCTTCTCTTCGGCCATTAAATCCTCAGGCGATCCAATTGGTCCTGCTCCTACCGTCGACTCTGTCAACACCGGTTCAAGCTCTGAAGCCCCGAAGGAACCTCCCGTCACTGCCCAGCCGGAAGTTATGGCCGAGTTCAATCAAATAGCGGCGGCGACGCTCAACACCACACCATCGTCTCCTCGGGCTTGCCCTCTTGGGCTGGTAAGTCCTCTATTTCTTCTCCCTCTGAGCCCGTTTTTACAAAGCCCAATTCTCCTCTATTTTTTGGGTCCAATTCTGTTAGGCCCTTTTTCACCCAACCAACCCAGCCCTTCTTCCCATCCCCTCTCACCTCAACCGCCACCTTTCCCAGCTCGATCCCAACCCAAACCCTCCATTCCTGACCGAACCCGACCCAACCCTCCAATTCAGCCTTTGAACCATCCTACCTCTCAGCTGCCTAAAAAACCGTCCTAAAATGTCGGAGGTTCTTTTTTCCCCTTTGGAAGTCTCTAAAATGTCGGAGGACCTCAAATATGCCCTCATTGGCAAATTCTCTTTCGGCAAGCCCTCCAACGAGGCTATTCGGTCGAAACTCACTCTCTTGGGTTTTACCGGATGCAAAATTCTTTTCCTTCATGCCAATCACGTCTTGATCAAAGTCGATGATCCAAACACGTCCACCAAACTTTAGTTGAAACGCGAAATCTCTATTCTTAATTTTCCTACGCGGATTTTCAAGTGCTCCGCCGATTTCGATTTAAAAAAAGAACCACCTATTGTCCCGGTTTGGATCAAAATCCCAACTCTCCCCCTTCAATGCTTCGATTTAAAGGCCCTTCGAACAATCGCCAACATCTTTGGCACCCTTTTAAAAGTCGATGATGCCACACTAAAAAAAACTCGGCTCCAATATGTGCGTAGCTCTCAATCTTGAATCCCCCAATCCCACTAGTATCGCCGTCTCTTGCGGAAACAAATGCGTCGAACTCAGTGTCGAGGTTGAACGCTTACCAAAATATTGTTCCTATTGCTCTCATGTAGGACACAATGACTCAACTTGCTACATAAAAAATCCAAGCATTCGACCTGCCAAAATCAACAAAGAAAAAAAACCCCCACATTGAACCCTCTCCTCATATTTCTCTCCCTTGTTCTGCTCTTCCGAGCTCCGCTAGCCCATCTCTTGCCCCGGAACCGACTCCTTCGGACTTGAGACCTTCTATTGACAAGGCTCCACCCAACCCCTCCTTATTAGGTCTGGTTCCTTCCCCGGCCCAAATCCCTGGGCCCTCCTCTTTCCTTGAAGCGGGACCAGACAATGTGCCTGACTCATTAGAGCCAGGTTCACCTAAGCCCAATTCAGTGATTGTTGAGTCTTTCTCTTCTGATTCTGAACCGGACTCCCCAAACCACTCGCCTCCCTTTTCCGAATTTGAAGATGACTTTACTGTCGCCCCAAACATGCATAAGAAACCAATCATTTCTGTCCCTTCCCCCTCTGTCCCGTCCCAATCTCCCCAAATCTACACCAACTCTTCAGGAAAAAAACAGCGGATTAGGTGCAACACGAGGAATAAGAAAAAACCAGACCATTTTCGAGACTCGCTAATGAAGTGGTAACTTTAGTTGTTGTCTTCGTCAGTTTTTATTGGACTTATGTAAACCTGCGACTTTTGTAGCCCATTTAGGGCTGTGACTTTTGTAGCCCATTGAGGGCCGTGACTTTTGTAGCCCATCTAAGGCCGTGAATATATACAGGTAGGGGATCCAGCGCATGCTAGAACTAAACTTGCAGCTTCACTGAAAAAACCTAGCAACTACAGACAACTAACCTAGCAACTATAGAGAACTAACCTAGCAACTATATAGAACTAACCTAGCAACTACAGAGAACTAACCTAGCAACTACAGAGAACTACCCTAGCAACTACAAACAACTAACCTAGAAACTACAGAGAACTAACCTAGCAACTACAGAAAACTAACCTAGCAACTACAAACAACTAACCTAGCAATTACAGAGAACTAACCTAGCAACTACTAACCTAGAAACTACGGACAACTAACCTAGTAACTACATAGAACTAGCCTAGCAACTACATAGAACTAACCTAGTTGGAACGTTAGTTGTCAACGGTCAACGTCGGAGTCAACGGGTCAAAATAATATTAAATAATTAAAATAATAAAAAAAAGAGTAAATCTTGGCCACACATGATGTACCAAATCTTGTGATTAAAAATGAGTCTCACGTCCACACTTTAAATAAGCGGATGCATTGGAACCAATCCCTATATTTATAATATTAAATGACATACTTTTATTTATATTATTTTTTAAAGTATAACAATATTGATAGAAATAAGTATATCTATTAGAAAAATATGAGACTAATAATTAGGTAATTAACATAAGACTTCCGTAAAGTGGTTTAGATACAAACAATTATGTTTAGAAATGAAGTAGGTGTCTTTAGCCGCTTAGGTGGTTGACATGGTGGAGAACGTAATTCAGAAATTTAATGTGGAATAATTTGACAGTTAGATAGTGATGTAGGGGAAATGTACCAGTGAGAAAGATAAATAAGAATCCAATCTCACACACGATAAAACACGATTAATTTCTTATTTTCACCTTAAGACAATGAAGTAGGGGGAGCTTTTAAATAAGACTCCTAAATCCTAACCATGACTTGTCCACCAAAAATAACCAAAAATAACAAATAACTACTTAAATGCTTAGAAGAAATANAATAATAATAATAATAATAATAATAATAATAACAATAATGATGATAATAATAATAATAATAATAATAATAATAATAATAATAATAATACAAAATATTCTAGTAATAAATATTCTAGTACTCCGCCTGCACCATTCTTCCTCGATTGAGAAAGATTAGCCCTCGAATCCGACCCGATCTCGTTGTCGGTGGTTGGAGTCGTACCCATGGCAGGAAAAGCCCAGAGTTTTCCCTCTATCGACCACAAAGGTTGAATGTCGCCCAATTATGTCAACATGCCCAAGAAGTCATGCGACCACTTCTTGCAGTAGCACATCATTGGACCCTCGATGATAGATACGGGGAAAAAAACTCCAATTAAAAGAATAACACCCTTTGGTTAGCCCTTTTTGGCCGGCTTGGGACCCTCTCTGTAGAAGATCATGTCGGCTCTAGGACCTCTTAGACTCTTGTGTGTTGTAGTTGTGACCCAGTCACAGTACCCACAAGGATTTGTTGTTTCCTGAGCAGCAACAAGGCCACTGATATGAGCCATGTCACAAAGCAATAGAGCTCTATACTTGTCAGCAATATCCCTGAATCTTTTGTAGTCCCAATTCCTTAGATAAGCACGTGCTCCACAAATGATCATCTTGGGCCTGAAATTCATGGCCCTCACCTCCAGTCTATCATAATCGATATACCCCGTCTTCTTATCCATCTTGTAGGGCAAGCTCACAGCCATGATCCTTTTCTGGGCTTCATCTCCAAAATTTCGATCCACTCATTTCTCCAATTTCGGAATGTCCATATCAGTCAGAGGCTCCATAAGAAATTATTCCGGCCCCGGAGGCTCCTCATAAAAAATCGACGGACCGTCGTAGAGATCGCCTGCATTAGGGTTGAAACCCCAGGGATCGCCGAAACCCTCGATTGAATCCCATCGACTTTCGTCAACCACCTCAGCCCCCCGACGAAGATCGCGCCCTTCGAATGCCACGAAGCCCTTGTCACCATATCGGACAGCACGATCAGCAAAACTCTCGGCCTAACGTCGTGCGTCGTGGCCCTGGTTGTCATCGAAGCCTGCAGCAGCGCGCTTTCTTACGCGATCCCAGGTTGCTGGGAAGCCCTCATCAGACCGCCGCTGGTCGTCGTCGAATCCTGCAGGGGCGCGACGCCCTTCGCGCTCCCAGCCCGCTGAAAATCCATCAACGCCTCGTCTATACTCGTGTGAACGGAAATTGCGTAGGGTTTCTCTGGTCGGCCGCCTCTACTCATGGTATCGGAATTCACCTAGAGTATCCTCGTCGCGTCTGTCAAATTTTGATAATCGGGGCATCAAGGGTGCGGTTCCACACAGTGAAGCGCACCATAAGAGGGTGAGCCTAGTTGCACCTTAGTGAGGTTTCATCCCAAAACCAATTGGTGATGCGAGGAATAGTTCACTAAGCTTATAAATTAGGTTCATTTACCCTATCAAATCAATGTGGGACGACTCATAAGTGATATTCCAACAGCGACCCTAAAAGTCGCCACCACTTCAATGTCGCCTCGCCCCTTGTGCAACCAGGCCGTCGCGTAACTCTCGCCAGGCCACCAGTAGTCGCGGTGTTAACCATTACCCTTGTGCTGGAATTTGAAGCCAGCCGACCAGGTGCTCTCACCATCATTTGCACCCTTCAGAGGCGGCGGGGACCGCTGTTGGGGCGCTCCGACATAGCCGCATCCTCTATGTTCGCCTCTGGCTCCCCCGCGATTGCCACAACCCTCAACCCCATTCGTCTGCAATTCTCGGACCATGGTATTGTCGTTGATCCCCATTGATATATTTGCACACCGATCTGTGAAATGCTCGACCATTTGCTGAACCCAATCGTCGATCTGTTAAAACCAGTCGTTGAAGGCTGCGTCACGTTGTTCATTTGCTGCATCTTGTCGTCGCGGCGACATTGGGAATCGTACTGACTTTTGATACTAATTGATGTGGAGAAAGTATACGGATGAGAAGGATAAATGAGAATTCTATCTCGCAAACGATAAAACACAATCAATTTCTTATTTCCAAATTCAACTGAAGAGAATAAAGTAGGGGGAGCCTCTTAAATAAGACCCCTAAACCGTAACCATGTCTTTTCCACCAAGAATAACCAAAAATAACAAATAACTACTTAAATGCTTAGAAGNAATAATAATAATAATAATAATAATAATAATAGTTATTACTAAATATTTTGGTACTCCGCTGCACCAGATAGTGTCGCATAATTTTGTTATGATACTTTTACTTAAAAATTACAGGTATTTGTTGAAAATACGACGTGTAACACATAAAGGGTGTGTTTGAATATAAAATAGCTCTATATTTAATTTATACTTAAAATCTAACTCAACTTTAGCTTAATCTCACTATCTTTAATATTATTTATATAATTAAATTTTACAAATTGGTCATTTTCTTACACATTACACCAACTTTAACTCATTATTCATCTACTGATATAATTTATACTCACATAATTTAAACTAACCATCATCTCTCTCCTATTTTTACATCAATTAATTTTAATTATTTTAATTTAAATATTATTTTAGTATAAACTTTAAATCTCACTGACAACAATCATACCACATTTTTTTAAAAAATTAACCATGATTAACTAAAAAAACTTATTTTGAGCAAATATATTTATATCCAAGCGCACCTAAAATCTTTAGAATCGCAAAAAATGTGTGCATTGTAAATTTTAAACATATTTAAGCCTTTTTTTGGTTCGCTAAATGATAGAAAAATTATTAACCTGTAGAAGAGTACAGTAGATTGCCCACTAGCTCGCTGGCAATACAAAGCATCTTACATTTAACATACAAAACACAAAGGTGGAAGAAAACTCGATGAGATCCATCCAGAGCCAAAAACACTAGACACAAAAACTAGATAGAACACTCCCGCATTTTGAAGACAGAACCACTCCCTAAATGGAAGACACAAACACTCTCGAAGGAAGACCCTAAGACATACAGCATAAAAAACACAACAAAATAAAAAAAGCACAACTATAAACAACACAAACACAAAATAAATAGAGTAAATGCTATCGCTACCAGTAGCCATCGAGCCAAAAACAAGCCCACAGATTGACAAATCACCCCAACAGGAAAAGTACCAAAAATCGAGTTTGTTATTTATATAGTTATATTACTACATTGTTGTATGTTGAAACTAAAATTAAGACTCATCTTATATCTTTATATATGTGTACATAGGTCATTGTGAATATAAAACATAATCATTCTGCACATTCATAAATTCTTACAACGTTTTCTTTCATAGATCTGAAAATTCCAAAACTTCGAAAAACTAACTGCTAGCCATACCCAAGAAAAAAAAATTAGACCTAAGCCCAACTCGAGAGAAAGAGTGATGGGGGACCAACACCCAATCTCACCGGCATCAGAAGAAGCCAGAGATGGGTGTCGGTCCCGATCTAAAGCCCGAGAAGTGAGGAGAGAAAAGCGCTAGAGGAGAAAGAGAGGCGAGAGCTTTAGTTTTTTTTTTCTTCAACGGAGAGAGAGAGAGAGAGAGAGAGAGATTTTTACGTAAGAGTTAAGAAGTTTTGTTTGAAGAAGTGATGGTTGAGTAATATGAAACTTCAAATAAGTTATTAAAATTTTAGAAACAAACTTATAATTTACTATTCATCTTTCTAAAACTTATAATTTACTATTCATCTTAATTAATTTTGTGAATGCAATAATCAAGATCGAGAAAGTTATTGGGTTGGCATTGTATTCGAGCCAAAACAATAATTAGCCGATCCAAAATAGATTTAACTATCTTGATGAGATATTAAATATGAAAGAATAAATAGTTAGATTTTTATTATTTTAGGTATTTTTTAATTTGATCAACCTCAATGTAAATTAAATCGGTTCAATTACTAGTCATGACCTGCACTACTATAAAATACCATAAGGCCTCATTTACTTCACTTGATGGGATTGGACAAAATAATCCACCAAACTTTACATGTCACCATTTTGTCCAATGTTTACTTTATGTGATACAATTTTTTGAAACAAATCAAACATTTACTAACATGTACCAAATGTCATATATACCCTTCAAACCTACCATCTTCTTCACCAATATTTTCCCTTTTTTTCATTTTTTCCATTCTCTCTCCTAGAAAATATATTCCAAACCCCACCCTAAAATATTGTTAAGCTCCATAACATCATGGTTGACAATACCCACACGTTGTGAACATTTTTTTTCATCATAACAGCAATCAATTACTCTCCAACAAGGAAAAAGCTCTTAAATTAAAAAATTCGCAGATGGCGGTTGTATCTGTATATCATATCCGCCGACAATTGGTCGTCGGAAGGCGTCGCCGCGGGCCACGGGGCAGCGGAATCCACCTCCTCGCTTCCATTCTCCAGGATATGATTACTGAGCCGAAGTCGGAGCTGATATTTGGTCATCGATTTGCACCTTGGCCTTTCGGGCGGATATCCGCCGCCGTCTCCCCGACTCTGTTCGAATCCATGGCGATAATGCCTAAAATTCATTTTTTTGCTTGAGCTTCGATGGTCAGTTGTATATTGTATTGTAAATAATAAATTGAGAGAGAGAGAGAGAGAGAGAGAGAGGTACCAGGAAGAAGAAGAAAAATCGATACGAGGAAGAAGAAGAAGAAAAATCGATAACAGGTATGTAATTAAGTGGATGTGCAATGGTGTTTAGGTCCCTTTATATGCATTTTATGAGGATAAAATGGGGATGAACAGTGGGAATTAAAAAATTTGGGGCTCTGGGCGGGACAAAAATTATCAAGAAATTAATGATATAGTTGTGGGCCCCGCCGCCACATGTGCATCCACATCACTTAGTCCTGTCCCAATCACTGGATGTAAACAATAGATATTGAGGGATAATTTACGTTATCAATATTATCAGCCGAAGTAAACGACGCCTAAATGGATACATGAGATATGAAAATACCAAAAATTGACATACAACAACGTTATAAAGTACAAAAGTTGGTTCATTGGTCACATTATAGATATGTTTGGTAAAACTAGTTGATTAGTTAGCTGATAGCTGATAAACTAGCTTATAGTTTATCAGCCATTTTCGAGCTTATAGCTTATAACTTCTGATTTATAGCTGAAAAGTTGGCTTATTTGATAAAAATGTTTGGTAAAATTAGCTGAAATAAAATTTTAAACTAGGTTATTTGAAAAGATACCAAAATAAGCTTATGAGATAAGTTCGAGCTTTTTAAAAAAGTTTGTTATAAACTTATTTAAATATAGGAAGCTTGTAAGCTAACCAATTAAGATGTAGCTTGCTTATTCGCGCGATGGTTCGACAAACATAACGGTTACGCAGACATATTTTATAAATAGATATACTGTAAGTACTTCAAAATTGAAATATCAACTTAAAAAAATATGACAAGGTTTAATATCAGACCAACTCACACAAATTTTTATTTTATATTTTAGAAACGATAAACTATTGATGAATAATGTAATTACAAATTATAAAACAACCTCAACAATCAAATCAATCATCTATCTAAGCTAAATCGAAGGGGGTTTGGTAACAACCAAATCGATCATCTAACCAGGTTGAATTGAAGGAGGTTTGGCTGGAGGTAACCTAGAGCTGATAGTAAAAACAACACACATTAGACAACGAATCGCATCTTGAGTGATAAGACGCTTCACCTATGATCGATAGATCGTGGGTTTGAGTCACCAAAGAAGAGAAGTGATAATACTATTGATCCTCCTTTAGCAAAGAAAACAATAATGTCAAACTCTCAATACTAAAGAATAACACACTCAAAGAATAACAAGGGAAAAAAACAAATACAAATAAAAAATCGAATTAAAAAAATATAATACAAAGTAAAAATAAATTCTCATGATGAAATGATTTGATCTCCTCAAACGTCAAAATGGCTGAGGGGATGCCTAGATATAATTTTTTTTTTGTTTTGTTTGAATTTTTTAGTTTGGTTTGGTTAATTTTGAAAAAAGTGATATGATTAGTTGTTAGTGAGTATATTAAAATAATATTTAAGATAAAATAATTAAAGTTTTTGATGTAAAAATATGAGAAATGTGATTTGAATTGATGATTAGTTAAAATTATGTGACTGAATGAATAGTGAATTAATGTTGATGTGGTGTGTAAGAACGATTGTTTGATATTATGTAATTAATTAATTATATTGATAATCTATCTATATATAAAAAGGTTGTTAGATAAATCTTTTTAGGAAACGTTTGACCAATTAAATAATACCTTTGACATTCTATTTATCGAAAGGTTGAAAATCACAATTTGATTTCAAAATTGGTTTAGGTTTTTATTGACCGAAAATCACTCTTTGAATTCCATTTGAATTCAAAATTGGTGTATTTTTTTTTATTGGAACAAGAATCATTTGTGTTTAGGGAAATCGCACGCAACAATAATCATTTGTGTTTGTTATTGACCGAAAATCACTCTTTGAATTCCATTTGAATTCAAAATTGTTGTATATAACCATTTGTGTTTTTATTGACCGAAATTCACTCTTTGTATTCCATTTGAATTCAAAATTGCTGTATTTTTTTATTTGAACAATAATCATTTGTGTTTTAAATTTACAGAATATGCAGAAAATAGATGGTTAATTATCCATAGTGTTTTATCAAAACAAACTTAAACAACTCATATTATTAACGTGATTTAGAATCTATGGATAACTCATTATGAAAAATCGCACGGTAGAATAATCTGTTATGGAACAATAATCTGTTACACCAGATTAATACCACAGTTTTAAGTTATCAAATGTGATTTAATGTGATGATCACATTTGATAATAATGAGATTAATTAATGAAAATTAGAATTTAATGTCATTCATTTAAAAAACATAACAAATAGCGAGTCCTGCGGTGGATAAATCACGAGAGTTAACATCAGGTTATTCATAATTTGAATTTATTGAACATCCAGCTAAAATCACGTCCAACTAATCTGATAAATCAATTCCAACTAATCTTATCATCATATTAGAGTTTGAATTTATTGAAACTCTGAAATTAAAATCACGTGCAATGAATCTTATCAGGAGAGATTAACGTGAGTCCAACTAATCTTATCATCTATTGGTTATCAACTTTTATCCCATGGCTATAAAATAAACGTCCGAGCGTATATCACGTATCACAAAAATCTCACACTCCAATTTGACATACAAACAGAAAAATGGCTAGAGCATGGGGAAACATCAAGCACAAGGACCAACAGGCCAATGCTTAAGTTGAGGGTGGTTCGAGTTTTCCAAAGGACTAATCAATACTCATCCTACAAAAACATCCTTGAAATTGTCTTTCATGACATTGAGGTTTAATTCATAATTAAGAATAATGATTAATTCTTTCTTCTCATGTTAATCGTAATATCTAATATTCTTTTTTCAAGGAGGTCGAATTACTGGAATAGTAAGAGCAATCAACATCCTAACTTTCATCAATGAATTCGAAGAAGGTGCTGTTTATGCATTTCGAAACTATCAAGTCGAGAGTAATATCAGAATGTATAGATCCACCATTTCACAATACAGGCTTATACTACATGGTAGAACCGAACACATAAGCTACAAGGGTGACTTTCCAATTTTTCGTTTCGACTTTCGAAGGTTCATCACATTGATTGATGCCGAGAAAATCGACGAATCAATGCTATTTGGTAACTGCATTTTCACTTATTATTATTTTTTTTTTTATGTTCAATAATATTTTTACTCACATTTAATTTACTAAATGTTTAGATGTCATTGGAATGGTTGTCGAGATACATCCAGTTCAAAATGAAGAATGTCAAAGGAGTAAAAAGTAAAAACTCGCATGATAGCATTCTCACTAATGGATCCGGAGTAATATTAAAACATACACCCGCGTATTATTATTATTTTTGTATAATAATATAATGTAATAGTTACTTTCATATCTATGATAATAGATTTTTTGTTTAAATTTGCAACTAGGGGAAACGTTCTGCCCTGCACTCTATGGGGGACATATGTTGACCAATTCCTCAACTTTGAGAGTCAGCTTGACCACAATGGCAATCATTGGACTTTGATAATTCAATTAGGGCGTTCAAGATCATGGGATGGTATATAAAATTTAGTGTCTTCAAATTATATAATTAATTATCCAATAGTGCTTAAATTATATTATTTCTTCACAAATAGAAAAAGTGCAAGTTACCTCATCAAAGGATATAACAAGGCTAATTGCTGGAGAAAATATTCCAGACATTGTGGAATTTTGCAATAGGTAATACTACTTTTAATTAATTTAATATTCAATAGTTATATATATAATAATGGAAAATTAAAAAAATATAGTTTATATCTTATACAGGGCTGCTGTCGGCCTACTTTCAAGGGCCCACTTAATTTCAAAGAGTGCTATAATTGTAAAATCTGAACTTCAAGAATTAGCCGATGGTGATGTTGTTGTGAGTGTTGTTGACTCACTCTATGATACTGCTGAGGTATATATAAATACAAATATATATGTGCCACTTCTATTTGATGAAAAGCATGGCTGAAATTGTACATTTATAAATGTAGGAAACCGATGTTTGGGTATGTGCTACCGTGGAGTCAATTATAGATGAGTGGTGGTACCACTCATGCAGAAGATGCACAAGCAAAATGGAGGAGTTTTATGGACAGTTTAAGTGCAGCAAGTGTGCTCATAAATTTGGAATTTTTCGGTAACAACAATTACTAATCTATCTATATATAAAAAAGTTGTTGGTTAAATCCTTTTTGGAAACTTTTGACCAAATAAATAATACATTTGACATTCTATTTATAGAAAGCTTGAAAACAATAATGGTGTAGTTTTTTTTTTTTGACGTAAAATCACAATTTGAATTCAAAATTAATAGTGTAGAGATAATATTGGAACAATAATCTGTGGATAACTCATGATGGAATCTGTGGATAACTAACTACTAATCTAAAAAGATTTTGATAAATCTTCACCAAACACTTATTTGATAAATCTGTGGATAACTAAACTATTAATCTAAAAAGATTTTGAAATGGCTAAGCTTATGTATTAATATCGCAACCCGAGGAAAAAAAAGCATAAGTAAGCCCATTTATTTTTTTATACTAAAATAAAGAGATATTACCAAATATAATTTTTGTTTAATTTGATGGATAATATCAAATCATTCCAAATTTTAATAATGTATGCAAATATCATTTCAAATATTTAGATAGTATCATTCTAACGCTACAATCATCAAATATCGAGATATTTTTTTTCACCTATTAAATTAACACTTAATTTGCCTATAAAAATAACATACACACTCTGAGTTGTTATTGTATCCCCACTCGTCAAAAAATCAAGCAAAACATAAAGAACAAATAGATATTCTGTATTGATAAGAAATCATGAGGACTCATCAAGCAAAACACCATGAAAACTCTACGCACCAACTCTTTTAAAGGATAAATGTATTTTTTTTTTGAACAAAAAGATATTGAAAAATGATATTTTTGTTATTATGAGGTATTAAATTTTATGGGTATGAAAGTCGAATTTTAGGTTGATTTGTTATAAAATCAAGTTAATATGTTTCTCAAAATTTATCATATTTCTATAATAACTTGCCAAAAGATATTAATGATAATTCGACAAAATGGTATGTATTCCTCTTGAAAATCATAAACATCTTTTAACAAATATTGGTTAATAAAATTTAAAAATTAACCGACAACAACTCTAGAAAATTGTGAGATAATATGTATATAAGGAAATTTATATATAAGCGAATACATACATACATATATATATATAAGGAAATTTATCGTATAGTTCAAATTTGGGTTTCAAATTTAAAAGTCAAATAAATAATTATTCATAACTTACGTGTCAATATAACTTAGGCATAAATGAAATAGTCAATTAATTATAGTTTAATAAATTACTCAACAACTTAAATTTTTTTATTTTGATCGTTTATACAAAATTAAATTCATTTTAATTAATGAACACTATAAGTTTTATAATTTTACTTATTATTTACATAGATATTTTATGGAATCACATTGTAGTCCAATCGAATTTTTGAATAAATATTTTAAAATGACACTTATTTTGAAATAAATATAATGTAATTTATTATCAGTTACGTGCACCATACGGGTTGTATACTAATTAAATTGACATTTTTATGTAATTTTGCACGATATAAAATTTATATAACATTTTTAATAAATTAATATAGGTAAATGTATTATATATTGATTCAATATTTTTAATTTATAAATATCATCTAATAATTATTTTTAATTTATAAATACTAATGAATATCTCTTACCCGTGCATCGCACGAGATTCGTACTAATATTGATAATAATGATGTTGAATTAAAGTTAAATTAAAAAAAAATAATTGAATTAAAAATAGTTGGATTTTTTTTAAAATATTTGTATCCAAGCTATCCTATGAGAATCTAAATAGCCTCAAGGGCAAAAGCGTAAATACACGTCAAAGCGAAGGACAAAATTCTAATTCCAAATCAACACGCAACGGGCACCGATATTTTCTGGACACATAAATAAAACACGTTTTCTTTTACTCAAAGTCAAAGAGCCTATCACCAAACCCATTACCCATAATTTTAATACAACTATTTACAAAATAAATAGAAAAATAAAATAATTGTCAATCACATATTCGCAGGCTCACAGCTGCAAGCCTGAACTGCAAATTGCTCTTGTCTGGGGTCCCACAGCTTTAGAATACGAAACAAAAACCCACATATTCCTCGTGCTTTTTTAATTTTCATTGTTCTCAATTAAAAAATAAAATAAAATCGATAACCCAATATAAATCCCTTTAGCAGTCAGTCCCCAATCTCATTATCAAAGGAATTTGTTATACTCTCCTCCAGAAAAAATCCATCACGCCGAACACAAACGCAATCCTCTATCCATTTTCATCGAAGTTCGAAATGACCTCGTCTAAAAACATGGATTCCGGCAAGTTCTCCGGCGGAAGGTCCAGCTTCACGCAGACCTGTACCCTTCTGAGCCAGTACTTGAAGGAGAAGGGCAGCTTTGGGGACCTCACCCTCGGCCTCACCCCTAAATTTTCCGAATCCAAAGGTGTGTACGATTTAGGGTTTAATTAATTTTGATTCCCCTTTTTGCGAGGTTTCATTGATTGATCTGTGAATCTCAGATCTGTGAGTTGCTGGATTTCGTTTCTTATTTTGCTCAACTTTTTTCTGTTTTTAGAACCAGCGACTATGAATTTTTTGCCCATGATTGAGAATTCGGGTCGGGTATCGGGTTCCGGCGACATCAGCGTGGATAATTTGCCTCACTTCGTCGGAGAAGAAGCGCTGAACAAATCCGACGGGTAATTATTCCCTCTGTTTAATTTCATAATTTCAATCTATTTTTTCTGTTTTCTTTAACTCGATCTGAAAAGTGCGGTTGGATTTTCAGCGGCCAGAGGCCCGAGAAGCAAACCGGTCAGATGACCATATTCTACGCGGGTCAGGTCTTGGTGTTCGACGATCTACCGGCCGACAAGGCCAAGGAGATCATGACGCTTGCCGGCAAGTCCGCCTTTGCTCCGCCGCATACTGCCCACAGCGCGGTGGATTCCGCCGCCGGCGCCGCTACTGCTGTCCCTCCCTTTGGGAAAGGGAAACCGGAGCGTGCCCTCCACGTTCCCCACCCTGCGCTTGCTTCAGATTTACCGATCGCGAGGAAACATTCGTTAGCCCGGTTTTTGGAGAAAAGAAAAGATAGGTATGCAATTTTCTCCAAAAATAAAATCTAATTAATTACTGAATCTGTATTATAACTAATTTCATTTTTGATTAATTAATTCAGGATCACAGCAAACGCGCCGTACCAAGTGACCAAACCGGCGGCGCAGCCTAACCCGGTGAAGACCGAGCCGTGGCTCGGCTTGGCGTCTCAGCTACCGCTCCAAGCACAGCGCTATTAGATCTCATAATCGTGTGCTTTTATTCTGGCTTTTGTACTCAAATCTAACCGTGTAATCATTTAGAGAGATTTATAGTGGAGATCAACCTGTTGATTTCTCTTTTTTTTTTTTTGTTAATTCGTTTTGAGTTTAATTTGAGATTTGGATTTTGGATTGGAGTATATAATTCAGTTATACGCAACTTTAATGTGTGTAATGATTTTTGACAGATAATGTCTATCCTTTTGTTGTGGTTTTCGATTCACATATGTCGTATTGTCTTTCTTTTTTTTCATTTTTATGCGAATTACTTGTGTTTTAGATTTTAATTGGTTAATTTTCTCATATAAGTCAATATATGTAAATATTAATATAATTTAAAAACGTGCTGAGCCTGTTGTCTTGCAGGCTTCGGAAGCTTACTTGCCAACATCATTCCCTAATTGTTTAAAATAAAGTACTTAATAAATAGGATTCTTATAGGATTCTTATATCCTCTTACTTGCTAACATCATTCTCTAATTGTTTAAAATAAAGTACTTACTAAATAGGATTCTTATAGGATTCTTATATCCTCCAACTGGCACGCTTCGGAAGTTTACTTGACAACATTACATGCTTCGGCTAGGATTCTTATATCCTCCAACTGCCACGCTTCGGAAGCTTACTTGACAACATTACATGCTTCGGCTTTTGGTTCGCTTCAGAAGCTTACTTGGCAACATTACATGTTTCGGCTTTGGTTCGGATACATTCCCTAATTCTTATCTTTTAAAGCTTCCCAAATAAATAGGATTCTTATATCCTCCAACTCTTACTAAATAGGATTCTTATAGGATTCTTATATTTGTATCCCCTAATTCTTATCTTATAAAGCTTCCCAAATAAATAGGATTCTTATATCCTCCAACTCTTAGGATTCTTATATCCTCCAACTCTTAGGATTCTTATATCCTCCAACTCGCATGCTTCGGAAGCTTACTTGACAACATTACATGCTTCGGCTTTTGGTTCGCTTCAGAAGCTTACTTGACAACATTAGATGCTTCCGCTTTGGTTCGGATACATTCCCTAATTCTTATCTTTCCAAATAAATAGGATTCTTATAGATGCTTCCGCTTTGGTTCGGATACATTCCCTAATTCTTATCTTCCCAAATAAATAGGATTCTTATATCCTTCCGCTTTGGTTCGGATACATTCCCTAATTCTTATCTTCCCAAATAAATAGGATTCTTATATCCTCCCACTCGCACGCTTCGGAAGCTTACTTGGCAACATTACATGCTTCGACTTTGGTTCGGATACATTTTCTAATTGTTTAAAATAAAGTACTTAATAAATAAGATTCTTATCTTCTCAAATAAATAGGATTCTTATATTCTCCACCTCCAAATTCTTTATCTTATAAAGCTAAAAATTTTGTTCCATTATGTATTGCCACATCTAACATTACTAATGTAAAATACCAAAAACTCGACATCGAAAAACAAATAAAAGTTGTAAAACAGAAGGATATTGGAAAAAGTATAATTCAGTACAGGATTGCAAGGGTTTTTGCAGAGCGCTCTTTCATTCTCTCACACACACAATGAGCAGCACGGAGCTGAAAAGACAGAGGAGGAACTACGAAAAGAGATCGATGAGCTCTATCGCCAACAGCGTGAGGTATTTCTTCGTATTTTGGCCGCCGTCACTTTATGCGCACACACCATAAATTTCGATTTTTTTCGCTTATTGTTTGTTTCACTGACAATACTCCCCTTTTATCCTGTGTGGCAGATTTCGGAGCGGCTTCGAGATCCCAGAGGGATTTTCCGCGGTGGCCTTTCAGGCGCCGGACCTCGCAATATCGCTGCCAACGGCGGCCGCCAGCGTGGCTTTGTTCGGCCTGTAAAGTTTTGTTGAATCTCTCTTTGTATGCACTTAAGACGGATTGGTTCTCATTTATTTCTTAATTTTGGGGTAATTATGTAGGCTGAGAGGAATGATGCGGAGGACCGGCCACCAGCCAAGAGGCGACTATCTTCAGCTATTGTGAAGGTGTAAGATCCTCTTATGTTCAGTTGATTGTGTTTGCTGTGTGTTTGATGCTAATGGAATTCAAAACCCAATTTTAGATTTGGATGATTCCAAAATAAAAAATTTAATATTATTTTATTTATATAATTAATGTAAATAATAACTTTTTTTATATAATTTAAATTAAAAAAAATACTATAATTTTATAAAAAAATATATAGCTACTTGCATATTATATCTTTTCAGTTCAACCATAAATAAATTATTTAAATCTTTTTAAAATATCTGTAAAAATATATTGAAATAGTTATAAAATATTACATGATCTTTATAATATATTTTAAAGAGTTGAAATAGTTATACAATATGTGTTTTTTCTATTATTTATGTTTTATATTTTTTTTTTCATGTACTAGTAAGTCAATATAGGTAAATATTCAATAAAAAAATGTTTGCATGAAACACGTGTAGTGGATCATCGAAGTGTCCAGAATGCCATGGTACCCACTTTCAAATGAAACGATAAAGATAATGAAAATAAAAGGAGATATCAATCGTGTTGTGTCAACTCACTAATGAATTGTTTATTTTCGGAGTATTTAAAACAAACCTAACGAATGAATCTATCATCTTGACGAAGTGTCCAGAATGCTATGGTGTTCCCACTTTCAAATGAAACGATAAAAATAATCTATCATTATATTAAAGATTAATCATTTAACAATTTTAGCAAGTTTTTCTCGCCAAATACATTTAATGTCTACTAAATATAGATTTTCAGACATAATTGATAACGCAATAATTAGTTTTCTTTATCCTTCTGTTTTTTGTTCATTAAAAATCGCAATTTTATTGTGATATAATTTATTTTCTTTATCCTTCCATTTTTATTCATTAAAAATTGCATAAGAATTTTTTCTATTAATAGCATGTTTTATCTATGTTCAAACATGTATACATTAAATGCTTTACAGATGTCCTGTAAATTATTTAAGCCCGTTAAATCCGTTCATTATCAACAAAATATGCGTGTAATCAATTCATTTCAAAATTTGAATAGCACATAAAAATCCCTATAAAATCGTTTATTTGCTCGGTATGTACAAATTTAGTGGCTGGATAATTGGAAAGAATCCATTTTACATGGAAATACAAATCTGTACAAGTTCTATCCCATATTGCATCGGTTTATCCTTAAATGATTGCATTATTCATATAGTGTTTCACTTTTTTTGTATTCCTATTATGAAGGAATCTGTTAATTTCCAAATTCAACATGTAAAAAAGATAAAGCTGTAGGCATTTTTTAATCTGTTGTTATCAACAAAAATCACATTCAAAATTTAAATAGCCGCAATGAACATAAATCTATATATATATATATATATATATATATATATATAAAATCTCATATCATGAAAAAATCTCATAGTCATATATACTGCCACTAAATTTAAATAGTCTCATATCAAGAAAACTCATCCCCAGCAACAGAGGGCAATACAAACAAGCAGACGTGCGGTTTCTCAGATCTACAACACACAATTAATGTTACACCAAAAACCCTAAATCTTTTTCCAGGTAATATTTCGTTTGGTTTTTGTATCATGATATGAAACCTTTAGTTTATCAAATTGATCATTCATACAGAATTGAGTCATAAATACCTATGTAATTATACAAATAAATATATTATTTTATCAATTTTTTATAATTTACTTGGGCCCAACCGAGATCCATCCATCGGCCTCGTGGTTTTACCCGTCGGAATCGTAACCCCGAACGAACTTCTTCGCCACGAGCCGCGGGCTAGGCGGGCTGGCCCGTCATATATAAAAAAAAAAATAAATAAATAAAAAATAAAAATAAAAATANAGAGGAGAGAGAATTTTACTTCTTTTTTTTTCGTCAGATTTGAGTGTGTGTATTTAATTTAGTGGCGTGTTTGTACCAAAAAAAATTTTTAGTGTCATGTGTATTTAATTAGTGAGGGTTAGAAGATTGATTGTTTATTTAATTAGTGAGGGTAGTTGGGGTGTTGAGATGGTATATTAAGATGATTTGGGCAAAAACTAAATTATATAGAGTGGTTGGGCGGGCCAAAGTAAATAGGCCGAATTAATCTATTTAATATATATGGGAAAATTTCATAACTGCCCCTCTTTAAAAAAAATATATTTTGATTTATATATTTATTTATTGATCAACTAAGCTAGGATTATGTAAATAACTAAAGGCTCAAATACAGTGTGGGGCAATTTTTTCGGCAACAACAATCAACATTCTCAGCCCAGGAGAGAAGTCCAGTAAGGGAACCCAGTTAAGTGAGGCCCAATTTCTACAACCCTTTGTGCAGCCCGCGTCGGGCCGTACTCCTCACAACGAGTTACCTAATAATCAAACTCCTAATGTTGTGTTCAAAGAGGTTTTTATTAATATATGATTTTTTCGTGACGAACATTTTATGATTGAATATTGTTCGTATGTATTAAACTCTCATATATCCTAATGCATGTCAAATTATAATATTTTTGAAATTCATATACCTCGTCCATCGCACGGCATATGCACTAGTGAAAAATAAAAGGAGATACCAATGGTGTTGAGTCACTCACTATTAAACTAATACGTAGTCCATGCGATACACAAGTGCAATATTACGATAGTATTATAAATTAATATATAAAGAACGTTAATCGTGATCTATTCATTGTTTTTAAATTCAAACCGAACAATCCGACCGGATGGATCAAGAACCGGTTTATCTACTAGTCTGGTTCGCTTAAATAAAATGTTTGCTAGAAACCTGCTCAACACCACTCGGTCAGACTGGTAGTATCAGTACGATTTTTTAAAATAAATTTTGTTACATTTAAAACTATTTTTAATATAAATAAAAATACATATTTAAAAAAATAAAGATTCATAAATTATTTATCATTTAGTTTAAATATTAAAAAAATTTAAATTGTTCAGATATTTAATTACTATTTTTTTATAAATTTATTATAAAAGTACTATACATATATATATATATGTATTAAAATATAAATAAATTAAATTCTAATGCAACCAATAAATCATTGAATAAATTACTTGATTGGTTGAAAACGGTCATCTTCTGATAACTTTAAATTTACTGTACGTTAATTAAGTTGTAACACAATATCACTTTGTTCACATAAATATTAATAAAATAATATATAAGGGTTCATAATCATTGAACGTGTTGTCATAAAAGTATTCTTAATATGATTATTTGGAGTATGAACTACATTACATTTATT